ATGTTATGCATAACTATATCAGCCACGAATGTCGAATAATAATGAACATACCTCATACCATACAAAGGGCCTCATCCCTATACCAGGCCTCAACCCTTAGAGTATTTATTGGTTAAATACTCTAAGGCCTCATCCAATCAATCCAGTTTTATTTATACCAAAAATTATAACTGCTGAAATGAAATCACTATTGATGTCTACTCCGAAGCGTTACACATAATTTTTAATAGTACAACTTTGATCAACATTCATCTGACGGTTATGAATAGCTATAAAAATATTAAATGACTTCAGTTTCACGTAATATAGTATAGATTCAATTTATTTCAAGACTTCCACTCTAGTTGTCGTCATTGCAGATTGCATTTATTTTTAATTTCGTCCTTGAATTGTAAAGCGAATACCTATGCTTAGAATTAGAGTGAGAAAATTCTTGCCGTTTCAACTTAAGGCAGGTATATATTAATGTTAGTGTAAATAGTTTAATGTTTAGCTGGTTTTTTTATTGGTTTTATTACATCCATGTCGAGGAAAGGTGAAATGCATTAAACAATAGTATTAAGCTACAAAAGAAGAATCACAAAACTGGGTTTAAAACGATTAGATGCTTGATAAAATAACCCCTTTTCGAATAGGCTGGTAAATTGGACCTTTTGTTTAGTTTCCTACGTCAGAAAATTTGACAAAAATGTCTAACTAAAGGAGGTCGTATCGCCCCTAAAAGCTTTCAAATGTTGAATCACTTCACTTCAACTCAATTCGAAGAAGGATATTGTATTTTAGTCAGTTGGGGAAGGTTAACAACCGTCGCTCTATACAAAAAATGTCGCTCTATAATTACCATCGTCGTCTGTATATATAAGAAATTCTATTAATCTTCTATCTCCTTCCGCAGCGCAAGAAAACAACGATAGACATCCTCGATCGACTCGAAACTGATATAAAAAGGATTGAAAGAGATGGCCAATATAAGGAGCAGACCCACAAAAGGGTTATTGGGTACATTATGGCGTATTCCGTCGGTTTATATGTCCTGTTCGCTATTTTATACTATTACATGTATGTCGGGAAGAGCCAGCATTGGATGTATTCTCTGCTCTACGCGTCACCGCTTCTCGTTTTGCCTGTATTGTGAGTATTCTGTGTTTTGTTATAAAGAAGAATGTGAGTTCGTTTAGTGAAATTTTAGGACTTGTTAGGACGATTTTAATGCGATTCGGGATATTGTTGGAAAGATCTGGGGAATGTTGGCTTCGTTATTTACGAGAACTGCTGCCAGCAATAGCCAAAATTGGAATAAAAATTTAATTGCTGTTTTTAAAGTTTAGTTTATCAGTATGATTTATTTTAACATACTGATAGACATACTGCCTCGTTGGCCGAGTGGTCGTAAGTGCGACTGCCGGGCTAGGGTCTCGGGTTCGATTCCCGGGTCGGGCAAAGTATTACTGGGTTTTTTCAAATATTCTCAGTAGTAGCACGGAGTCTGGAATTGTGCCCGGTATATGGCAATAGGCTCACCCCCTATTACATGGGACTCATAACATAAATAGTGAAAAGTGGGTGTTACATTGTACAGTGGTTTAATGTGCACCTCTGCCTACCCCTTAGGGGATAAAAGGCGTGATGTTATGTTATGTGATAGACATAGTTATTTCCGAACTACAGAGAGGTTCTTCCTCATGAGCAGGGTGCGCGACCGCGGTGACGTCGCGAAGCCTACAGTAGGATGGCCACATCCTACTGTAGGCTTCGCGACGCCATCCATCGTCCATCCTCCATTCGTCCATCCAAAAATTATTTAAAAATTATTTAATTTAACTAAAAATCGCGGGTCTACAGCCTTGTAGATCCGCGATTTTTAGTTAATATAATATGTTTCACAATAGTTATTATAAAAACATGTTTTATTTTATTTTGTCTTAGAAGACAACTTAGACAGTTTCATTTTATAAGTATAAGTCAGTTTTACTCACATTACCATTAAGGAAGAATTAATCACACTAAATAGCCACAACAGAAGAATACAAAAATGATAATTCCTTTCCAGAGTAATATTCCTTAGATCAGCAATATCGTGGTACTACAATTGGTCGCTAAATAAAAACAGGATCAAACTATCGAAGATGAGAGAAGAGAAAAAGAAGATCTTGGAAGAAGTTATGAATACTGAGACATACAAAGTAAGTTTTAGAGAAGAATTAATTCTGGACTAAGGTATTTTTGCATGGGATAAGCCGGCAAACGAGCTGACGGATCGCCTGATGGTAAGCAATCGGCGTCAATCCATACACCTGGAACTCCAGAGGCATTACAAAGTGCGTTACCGGCTTTTTAGGGATTAAGAAATTGAGGAATGTCAGGAATTCAGGGATTGGGGAGATTGGGGAAGGAGGGGGATGATATTTGGGCCTCCGGTAACCTCCCTCAAACGACGAAACTCAACGCAAGCGTTGTTTTACGTCGGTTTTCTGTGAGGCTGTGGTATCTATCACTCCGGTCGAGCCGAGCCATTCGTGCAGAGACATGGCTACCCCACACTTGTGGTTATGTTATTTTCTCGTTTTTGGTGACTGTCTCATTTACTTTGAGGTTGTTAGTTATTTCTGCCTTCACGGTTGGTGCTGTAACTGGGCAATTGGGGGCCGCGCAACGTGTCGCGGGTTCGATTCCCGCACGGAACAACTCTTTGTGTGATCCACATATTTTTGTTCCGGGTCTGGGTGTTATTTGTATGTGAACTTGTATGTTTGTAAACGCTCCCACGACACAGGAAAAAATCAGTAGTATACGGCAACGTTAAAAAAAACTTTAACTCTGAACATGAGATCCAAATTTCGTTTCCCGGTTAAAAACTAGTTAATGCACTGAGTCCAAACAGAGTATCTGTTTATTACATTTTTATAATTTATATTATTAGACATTTCTATAAATAATGTTTGAATTTCGTTACGCTTCGTCACACGTGATTTATGCGATCAAAAGATTGCAATGCAAGAATGCACTTGTCTAGATTATTTTATATTTTCTATGCATCATGGATCGGTAATGAATAAATAATGCCTTAGAGCGCTTGTAGTCCGTTTGTTGTTGTGTCCGCTTTTTTCGTCTGAAAACATTTTTACCGGATCCGGTGAAGAAAAAACGTACAATCGCTTGTGATATTAATTACATCTTATATTCCATTGCAGGTTGCGAAAGAGATCTTAGACAAATACGGTAGTCCAGAGGAGCAATCGAAAGCGCTGAAACCTTTCGTACCGTCGACTAATGTGCCCGGTAATACCCCTAGCACGCCGGTCCCAGGTAGTTAGAAATCCTTTTGTATATAATCCTCTCTTTTGTTAATAATATATACGGTTTACGCACTTTTCGAGGAAGCTCGATTAGTTTCGAGCAACACTGGGACTTATAATTATGTACTAGTTGACTATTTTCATACAGCATGTAAGTAAGCCGTAAATATTATTTAAATGTAATGTTTCACACTAGCGATTATACTGCAATTATAATTTCTTCCAGATTATTTTTTTAGTGTAGATTCTTTACTCGGCATTTGTTACTAAGACATTGTTTAGAAGTGAATGAAATTCCCTTAAACTGTCTCCTTCCACTCTCTCTTCCTTACTTTTTCTCCCTCAATATATTTTAAATTGCCTAGAGTAAATTGTAATGTAACTAATAGTTCGGTGTCTGGGAACCATGAAGTTTTTAACCGCTGACATGATATTGTGTAATCTTCGAGGTGTTTTTTCTTCTTTTGTGATAATTACCGTCGAGTTAAAACATTTTCTCATGCATAAAATATACAAAATTTACTAGCTCTTACCCTCGGCTTCGCTCGCGTCACAAAAGGATAAAAAGCCAATGTGACATATACCAATACACACATCGCCATCTATACCAATACTTTTGTTTTCCCTCGGGAATATCATTCCGGGATAAAAAGTACCCTATTATTTAATCCGGACTTGTAACCATACATCAGCAAAAATTTAAAGAAATTGGTTTAGTAGTTACGGCGTGAAAGCGGAACAAACAAATAAACTCTCTTTCCGATTTATAATATTAGTAAGGATTATCATTTTTCACATGTCACAAAATACTATGCCATTGTACTTAAGCGACTGCATTCGTACCATAATATTATAAAAATCCTACTAATATTATAAACGTCAGAAGTTAATACCTCCTATTGGTTACTGTTGCATACAAGAACATACATTCACATAAGTTATTTTTATCCTGAGTCTTAATATCACTCTCATTCACTGCAAGCAAAGCCGCTGGCTGAAGCCAATGAATAATATTTTTTATGACATAAACCGGTAAACGAGCAGACGGATCACCTGATGATAAGCAATCGGCGTCGCCCATAGACACCTGGATCACCAGAGGCGTTACAAGTGCGTTACCGGTCTTTTAGGGATAAGGAATTTGAGGATTGTTGGGAATTCAGGGATTGAGGAGATTGGGGGAACGGGGGTAATTGGGTCTCTGGTAACCTCACTCACACGACGAAATACAACGCAAGCGTTGCTTCACGTCGGTTTTCTGTGAGGCCGTGGTATTACTCCGGTCGAACCGGCCCATTCGTGCTGAAGCATGGGTAATGGTAATGGGTAATAATTAAAAACATTTAATTATCGATGATCCTTCTTCAATTAGCGACTCCAGGTCAACTGCGACAACGTCAGATGGCGATGCAGACGTCAACTCCTATCAACAACAACAGGATGCTGGTACCGGTCGTCAACTCACCTAACTCCGTGTACAAGGGGCCTAGGCTTCGGGTGAGTCTACATTGACAATAGTAACAATAAAACTAGTTAGGTGAACTCCTATCTGCCTTGGCCGAGTGGTCATGGAATCTGGAATAGTACCCAGTATATGGCAATAGGCTCACCCTCTGTTACATGGGACCCATAACATAAATAGTGATAAGTGGGTGTTACATTGTACAGTGCCATTAAGTGCCGTAATTAAACTGTCAAACACCAAGCGGTCACCGGTGACCGCAACCTATTGTTCTATAATTGTGTCTATAATGACGGTACTCGACGAGTTGATTAGATAAACCGCCGTTTATTATATAGATATTAAAGCCGTCAACTCCCTTAGAAAAAAAATTGCATTTGATTACCTAATGTCTCTCAAACTCAAATGCCTCTAAATTTTAAGTCGCGTTTAAGTGTACTTCTAGCACTACAAAGTCTTTGTAAAATGACATAGAATTTGCCTTTCTGTATCCATGCGTAAGTATACTGTTTTATGAAGAAGCAGCGTATACTACTAACTTCATTTGAATTTTTTTTACGGTTTTCTCACATATTTGTTAGACGTGGTAGCTCGACCAGTTTCGAGCCATTTCAGGGGCTCTAACTAATCGAGTCAAACCTTAAGACATAATTAATTTAACATGTCTGAGTAATAATACAAAAATATTGATTTTGTATTGTGTTTTTATTTCTGTTTCAGTCGGATCAGCTTCCACGTCCCCTGCCAGAAAGGAACCGCTCTGCTCTAGACAAAGTGGTGGACTTCTTGCTAAAGGACGGACCGAACCATCGCATGGCTCTCATCTGTTCAGAGTGCTCGTCTCATAATGGTGAGATATTCTTACTTTTTATACTGACTGACTGACTGACTGAGTAATTAAGTGTCTGGCTGAATGACTTCCAACTGTCTAAGTGCTGCTTGTTTGAGTGATTGACTGCTGACTCAGTGACTCACTGCTTAATTATGTGACTGACACATGGCTTCGGTTGTTTTTTTGATTTTCTATGAGATAGTGGTCTCAACTCAGTCAAGATCACCCATTTGTAAGGCTCTAAAGTCTTTAAACAGACAGTGTATATATGTATGTATGTATATGTGTACCATAGTATGTAATGTAAGTACCTGAGTATGCTTAGAACCACCTTCACTATCATTCAGTGCTCCATTCACCCAAAGGTTGACTGGTAGAGATTTAGCTTTTAGCGATAAGGCCGCCTTTGTGCCCTACTATTCTTGGATGTAAACAGGCCCGCCGTAAGCGCGCGTGCAAAGCGTGCACAGCACACGGGCGCACGATCATGGGGGCGGCAAATCGAGCGACTTATTACCTACTACTCAAAATCATTGTCCAGAGTAAGGAGAAAGGATAAGAAATATCATCGCCGGGAAAAAATCCCACTCGACGCAAGCAATATTACCGTTGTGTTACGTTTGAGGCCCGAGCGTTCTTGAAAGCTATTGAGCGTCCATGATCACATTCGAGAGTCACTCGAAAACTATCGAGCGTCCTCGAAAGCTATCGAGCGACCTCGAAAACTATCGAGCGGCCTCGGTCGGACGAGAGCGTTCGAGCGTTTCGAGCGTTCTCGATTGCTTTCGAGCGTCCTCGAAATCTATCGAGCGTCCTCGAAATTGTCGAGCGTCCTCGGAAAACTATCGAGCATCCCCGATCGATTTCGAGCGTCTTCGAAAACTATCGAGCGTCTTCGAAGTCTATCGAGCGTCCTCGAAATCTGTCGAGCGTCCTCGAAAACTATCGAGCAATCTCGATTGCTTTCGAGCGTCCTCGAAATCTATCGAGCGTCCTCGGAATCTGTCGAGCGTCCTCGAAAACTATCGAGCATCTTCGATCGGTTTCGAGCGTCCTCGAAAGCTATCGAGCGACCTCGAAAACTATCGAGTGGCCTCGATCACTTTCGAGCGAGCTCGATCACTTTCGAGCATGCTCGAAATCTATCGAGCGTCCTCGAAAACTGTCGAGCATCCTCGATCGATTTAGAGCGTCCTCGAAAGCTATCGAGCGACCTCGAAAACTATCGAGTGTCCTCGATCTATTTCGAGCGTCCTCGAAAACTATCGAGCGTCCTCGAAAACTATCGAGCGTCCTCGAAAGCTATCGAGCATGCTCGAAATCTGTCGAGCGTCCTCGAAAGCTATCGAGCGGCCTCGATCACTTTCGAGCGAGCTCGATCACTTTCGAGCGAGCTCGATCACTTTCGAGCGAGCTCGATCACTTTCGAGCATGCTCGAAATCTATCGAGCGTCCTCGATCGGTTTCGAGCGTCCTCGAAATCTGTCGAGCGTCCTCGAAAACTATCGAGCATCCTCGAAATCTGTCGAGCGTTTTCGAAAACTATCGAGCATCCTCGATCGATTTCGAGCGTCCTCGAAAGCTATCGAGCGACCTCGAAAACTATCGAGCGGCCTCGATCACTTTCGAGCATGCTCGAAATCTATCGAGCGTCCTCGAAAACTATCGAGTGTCCCCGATCGATTTCGATCGTCCTCGAAAACTATCGAGCGTCCTCAAAATCTGTCGAGCGTCCTCGAAAACTATCGAGAAAACAATTCAGCATCCACGATCGCGTTCGAGCGTCCTAGAAAACTTTCGAGCGTCCTCGAAAACTATCGAGCGTCCCTGATAACTTTCGACCGTCCTCGATCACTTTCGATAGTCCTCGATCACGATTGAGCGTCCTCGATCACTTATGAGCGTCCTAAATCACTTTCGAGAGTTACTGAAAATCTATCGAGCGTCCTCGATTACTCTCTGGACTTAATCGAAATCTATCGAGATATCTCTATCGCAGGAGACGCTTTTGGTATAGTATCGCGTCGCCTTCTCCGCCACCGTAAGCGCGAGACTGCTGACGGCAAGCAAGGATAGTCTGATACGTAGCAGACCCGAGCGTACGGCGCGTCGTGTAAAATGCAGGCGTCAAACAGTCATTACTTCATCAGACACCACAGACGGACTTCTGATACTGGCTGACTACGGGTACTGGGGCCCTGGCTTTGAGCAAGTGTTGGAGGGAATGGGGTTGTAAGTTAGTAAGAGTTGAAGGAACTTTTATGAATTCTTACATCGTCAAGAGTAATTTGAGGACTTTTTACCTACCCAACAAAAAGGGGGGCGGCATAATCGGTATTTGCACGCGGGCGCTCGAATGCTAGTGGCGGGCGTGTATGTAACTCCACATTTATGTTTATATTGCTTTAAGGTGTACAATAAAGATTATTACTATCCAACTGCATCGATGCATTTTGAATGCAGTTGTGACTACTTTTTTTTTGGCATAAGCCGGTAAACGAACAGACGGATCACATGATGGTAAGCAATCGGTGTCGCCCATGGACACCTGGAACACCAGAGGCGTTACAAGTACGTTACCGGCCTTTCGGGGATTAGGAGTTTGAGGGTCGTTGAGGATTCAGGAATTGGGGAGATTGGGGAAGGGGAGGGTAATTGGGCCTCCGGTAACCTCACTCACACGACGAAATACAACGCAAGCGTTGCTTCACGCCGGTTTTCTGTGAGGCCGTGGTATCACTCCGGTCGAGCCGGCCCATTCGTGCCGAAGCATGGCTCTCCCACACTGCAATAGAACTGCAATCGGACTGCACGTTTGGTTTGCAGTTCAATTTCAGTCGTGACACGACTGTATTCACACTACATCCGAACTGCAATTAGCGATTGGATTGCAGTTAAAATGCGGTCCATTTGTTTAGAGCCTTACTCTAACAAACCAATAACATTATATATGTCCCATACTTATTTGTCTATTGTTCGTTGTGCATTACGGATATATTGTGTGATATGTATAATTGCATATCAAAGTATATTCACAACACTGTTAAACTTTTACACCTACTATTGTGTCTCTGCATCACCCTAGGGTTGACTGTTAAAAGTTTAGGCATTAAATCCGCCATTGTATACCCATTGTGTAAGAAGTGTAAATAAATAATTAAATAAGTTACTAAATACCTTAAAACTTAAATTATTTACAGGTATGGCGATGGCCGAAGAGTTTGAGTACGTATCCTATGTATGCGCATACTGCGGCCGCCTCAACCCGGCTCGCAAGCAGAGGCCGGCCGCGCCGCTACTAGCCGCCAGACCACTGCCTGCACTGCCCAATACTTCGATACATGGTAAGCTATGACAAATTCGCTCTAACCGACTTCAAGAAGAAGAAGCAACCCACAAGAAGCAACTCTTTGTGTGCTCCACAGATAGTTGTTCTGGGTCTGGGTGTCATGTGTATGTGAACTAGTATGTTTGTAAACGCACCCACGACACAGGAGAAAATCCTAGTGTGTGGCAACGTTTTTTTATAAGAGAAAAAGATTTGGCCATAATCTCCAGGCTATAATATAGTATACCCGAGCGTACGGCAGGTCGCATTCCGCGCACGCCTCAAAGAGCCATCAGACCACCACAGATGGGGCCCGATAGGGCTGATGCCGATACGGAGTCTCGGAGAACCTAACGGGTTACTGGGGCTCCGGCTCGACGTGCATGAAGTGCGGGGTGGTTTTTAGTCAGTAAGAGGCTGACACTCCATCCCGCCTCACCCAGGCGGGAGCAGTCATTCGATGATATTCCCCCCTTAAAAGTAAATAAAAGGCTATCATATAGTATGTAAAAATGTACTGTATGTTATGTATCAGTTTTCCTTTGTCTATCGGTTTGTGTATAGTTGTACTTGAATGGCATGACTTGTATTTTTATCCATCTCTCCAATTCATTATGTATCTGATGCCCGAATACTGAAACGTTACTCAATTTTAGTTCGCTCTTAATTATAGTCTGTCTCTACAAATTCTTTGTAAAATGACAGAGATGGACGATTTTTTTTAAGTATAACTTAAAATTTAGCAGCCTTTCAGTCAGTCGGATGTAAATGCGTGTGAATGTTACATTGATCACCTTAATTTGATATAATGAACGAACGAACTTGTAAGTTTGTAACGCATTTGTGACTGAGCATTGTTATTTAGAAAATATTTTACAGTCAAAAATGTGAATTAGGCCCCCCTATTCACTATACTCTCAGCTTGCCACGTCGCTCTTGCGACTGCCTCGTTGGCGGATTGGGCAATGTATTACTGGGCTTAAAAAAAACTCAGTAGTAGCACGGAGCCTGGAATTGTACCCGGTATATGGCAATAGGCTCACCCCCTATTACATGGGACTCATAACATAAATAGTGAAAAGTGGGTGTTACATTGTACAGTGGCATTAAGTGCCTTAATGTGCACCTCTGCCTACCCCTTTGGGGATGAAAGGCATCATGTTTATGTTTATACACTATACATATTTAACTAAAATGTTCACAATCCCCCTTTGTGCTGACTTGTTTATCTATGTGCGATCGTACAGGAAGCGGCGATGACTCGTCTCTCGCGAGCTCTGCAAGCGACAGTGATGATGACAAACATGGTGATACTGTTATGAAACATGGTATGTACTATTACTATATAGACATAATTATAACATGATTATTATAAGATGCATGAAAAGACCGATGTACTGTTAATGAAGCGAAAGAGCTATGTAAGAATCGTAGCAATTGGCGTTCCATAGTCTCTGCCTACCCCCATGGAAAATAGGCGTGAAGTTATTGTGTTACATTACAACGATACTTGAGGCCTTGTAAGGTTCCGGAAGCCCAATTCTCCCCTAATCCGCTAAACCCCCTAAAAGTCCGGCAATACACTATTAACCCCCCCTGGTATCCATGGGTGGCACCGATTGCTTACCATCAGGTGAGCTGCTCGTTTTTTCACTATTTAGTAAAAAGTAACTTCATACTATTATTTTTATTTATGTTTGGCGGTGTTTACTGTTTAACGAGGCGACTCGACCATTTTCAAGCCACACCGGGGCCCATAGTCATCAGCAGCGTTTCGCGACAAACGATACGGCAAACATCGCGCAGCTGTAACTGTAACATACAATCAATTTGATACGTCTCCCTCAAAGTTGTATATATACTTTGTTGTATTAGGGATGATGACAGGGTATGAGAATTAAAAATGTAATTAGTCCGTCAGTTAGGTAATGAAAAAATATTAGACACGTATTATATAATGATACTTAGATAAAACGAATCAAAATTAGGAGTGGGGGCTAAAACGTCATATCTACATACAAAATGTACATAGAAGTGACGTCACGCGACATTTCGAATCAATATATCTTCGAAAGTATTCGTTTCTGTAAGAAAATAAAAAATACGTGTCTAATGTTTTTAAATAATCTACAAGACGAGTACATTAACTCTTTGAGTACCGGCATTATAGACACAATAGGTTGCGGTCACCGGTGTCTTCGCGGTGTTTGACAGTTAAAAATAAAAATTAGTCATCTACCCTTTTATCTTTCCAGGTTCGGAAGGCGACTCGGATCGGCCCCCTTCGTCGGAAGGGTCCCCGAAGCCGGAACAAGACAAGAAAGAAGACTGAGCAACGTCAATTTGCAACATTTATTATACAAAAATTGCAGTCTATCCGAGGTAACATTAGTAGGGTGTGATTGACAGGGGAATATATGTGTTGTGTTTTAAAGATAGAGTTTATTTTTGATTGAAATTGCTAAGGTTGTTGTTGCGTTTTGTGGGATAGAAATTTCATATTATATCATACAGATACATTTTGATTTTCATTCGTATAACTCGGGCTCTTGTTAGTCCTTTCCGTGGTACAGAAAAATACACCTTATGTGATACAGTTAAAAGTTTAATTTTCATTATATTTGCAAGTGTTCTTGTTACCTTGTTTTTGGGTAAGGAAAAGTATTTTAACAGCCGGGTAAATTAAGACAATTTTTTAAATTAGTGTTGGGTATCGGGCGTAGTGAACCGAAAACTTATCGCGTTTGGCGCTCTGATTGGCCGGCTCAAGTGAACCAACCAATCAGAACGCTTAACTCGCTCGATACTGTTACGATACGAATGCGATAGTTATTCGTGCTTGGCCCTCTGTAGGATTATTTTTGGCGGTGTTTTAATATCAAATTGGTTTTAATCTTAAACTTGTGTTTTTGTAGGTTTTCAAAGTTAAACACTGAGTGAATTCAAATAGGAAAATCAATAAAATACTTAAGTTAATTGTACTCAATTTTAAACTCTAATACTATCAACTTAAAACACTTGACAACCCTGTCAAACACACCGTAAAATTATCATCTATGTATATGGCGGAATAGACAAACAGAATTATCTACAATATTTAATTATTATTATTACCTAATTTATTTCGCTTATTTATTATTTAACATTAACATTGTAGTCTCGAAAGAAAGTCTTATGTCTTGAGTAATATTTAATATGAGATCAGAATGTCAGAACGTCAGAATGTCAGACGTAATCGGTCTAACGGCGAAATTAATAACCGATTTCTGAATTAATCTAAGATTTAAAAGACAAGGGCCGGTAACGCACTTGTAACGCCTCTGGTGTTCCAGGTGTCCATGGGCGATGCGGATTGCTTACCATCAGGTGATCCGTCAGATCGTTTACCTTGCTATCCGGTAAAATAATCCGATTTTGTATTCAAATCGATAATTAATTTCGGTCGTAAAAGTGACACGTAATTGTCTGACATTATACGGTTAGCACAAAAAGTTGAGAAAGAGAATTTCAGAATTCTGATTTGTATTGTCGATTCAAATTAAGTCGTGTTTGGAATTACGCACGGTCTCGGAAGTGGTGACCGATGAGCCAATGGTCTGAACTTCGATTCCTAGATTGCGCAAAACAATATTGAGGATTTGTCGGTTTTCCTAAAAATCCTCAGCTTAAATCCTGGAATTATCACTAATATCTGGTAAAAGGCTTACGCCCTATTACAAGGAACTCATAAATGTAAATGCAGTTCTCTGCCTACCCCTTTTGGGAGAAAGACATGCAAATCAGATTTCTGTCTCTCTTAAGAAAGAAAAGCGTTGCAAAGGTACTACTAGCGTTAGCATGAACGTAGCGTAAATGTTGCGTGAATGTAGCGTAAATATAGCGTAAACATTATGTGAACGTATCGTAAACGTTGCGTGATCGTAGCGTAAACGTTGCGTAGACGGAGCGTGAACGTAGCGTAAACGTTGCGTGGACGTAGCGTAAACGTTGCGTAATCGAAGCGTTAACGCAGCGACGGAATTTGTTTTCTCACACAAGTAGACACGTATTCTAGTATAATTTTGATTAAAATGTTCGTTCGTGTTTGTGGTTGGTGTCTCGAAAATTGCTGAACTGGTTTCAATTTTACTATTTTTATTATGGCATGAAGCAACAGCCGTATTGGCGTATCATAAATTAAACCCTATGCTACCTCTAATATCAATAAGGCATTCATTTAAAGGTTGTCAAAATTTATCTAGAATGCGATGTCTATTATAATTTCTTTAAAACCTTGATTTGACGTCAGACAATAAAATTTGTTGAAATATTGTCATTTTTTGGTGTTGTGCATAAATCTCTTAGGTTAAAAGTAATGAATGGATTGAATTTATTATTCATTGTTGTTAGATTCGATACCCAGTGAAGTGCCCAGTAAACTAATATTGGGTTTTTCGGTTTCTCAATTCTAATAGGCTCGAAACTAGTAGGGTCTTTCTCAGTATATTTACGTGAGCAACCCGTCATTTTTAGTTAAGTCTGAAATGTCTGTATTAGGTGACATGAAGCTAACTTTCTGTTAAATTTGAGCTATCATAACAACCGAATTGTTTGTCTATCAACCTTCCGTCTTGTTCTTCCAATTTTTATCAATTTATAATCATTACTACCTTTTTCCGTTGGTGTTTTTTCTCTATCTCGTTCTCGTCCCTATTGAAAAGGGACGCTACTGACTCAAAAAGCAGGCAGACAGCGGCCTCACAGAAAACCGACGTGAAGTAACGCTTGCGTTGTGTTTCGTCGTGTGAGTGAGGTTACCGGAGGCCCAATTACCCCTCCCCCTTTCCCAATTTCTAAATCAACAATCCTCAAATTCCTAATCCCAAAAGGCCGGTAAAGCACTTGTAGCGCTTCTGGGGTTCCAGGTGTCCATGAGCGACGCCGATTGCTTATCAGGTGATCCGCCTGCTCGTTTACCGGTTTATCCCATAAAAAACATAATAAAATGCTCAAACAACGTCTACCTAACATTTAAGAAAATAAATCTGTTATAAACTATGTTTAAGACTTTGACTGCCAATAAAAAAGGTAAATCCTCCGCTAATGCCGGTCACCGGTGACGTTCTATGGCGTTTAACGTGTTAGGAAAGCCGACTTTAAGCTCCTCTTTTTTGAAGTTCGTTTATTAAAACAGGGCTGTGTTTTTTATGGTGGCTGGCAATTTAAATTTAAATTTTTACAAAAGCTGGAGAGCCAGAAAAATATTCTCAGTTGTATAATGACGTTTAACCATGTATTCTTTACTCACAGACAAAACTTGTATACAAATCGTACACATATGATGAAAATGTTTAAAATGAGTGTCGCGGGCCGCATGAGGCCCGCGGGTCTTTGTTTAGACAACCCTGTTAATTGATATATTAAAACAGACTAAAGTGTAGTGTTGTCTATGTGTAAGAAACTCTTTTCTGTAAACCGCATTAAAATCAATTCAGCCAATCGCGAAATAATTGCACACAAACATCAACATGAAGTCGGTTAAAAATGTTATAATGTTATAAATTCAATCCATTCATTTTAACCTCCAACGAATAAAAGAGAATAAGCTTTTTACATACAAACATACAATAATAAAATAATTTTAAATAAATAATACAATTTACGTGCCTTGTAACGATAAATTAATTATTATTATTCATTTTTGAGTTTCATCCGTAGTTAATATAAATATTTTAAATACACAGATAATTTTGTACTAGATACGGTATTGTAGGGATTTTTGAGACTGACAATACAGCCCGTGTTAGTCCACTGGTAGACTATAGGCCTCTTCATAATTTCTACGCTTGCAGACACCTTGGAGATCTTAGTTTAAAAGGTTCAGGTTTATCAGAGAGCGCTGTTGTCCGGTCTCTGTCCAATGTGTAGTCCCTTAGTCGGGTCTTACGATACCACCAGATTGTAGACTGTTGTACTGCTGGAAAAAAATGACCATTGATTATACCATTCTTGCTAAAGCCTAATTATAAAGGGCATTGACTAAAATTGGTGCCTTTCTTTTTTCTGGCGGCAGTCGATGATTTATGGAAAATATTATCTAGAATGACATTACAAACGAAATTGTCTATGGGCTCATATATGGAAATTTCAGTCTGGACTGAGTTATGAGGGTTGAAAGGAGCTGGAGTCAAACATTTTACATTGGTTTTTTTATTCAAATTATTCATATTTTTGTCACAATTCCTAACTTCAAATTGCGCGCCACTGTACACCTGGCACAGGCATACCATATCACACCACAATATATACATATTCCCAGGCACTAATTTTTATTAGCTATTTTCTCTCAGTCGATAACTTGTGAGATGCTTCTAAGAGTTGTGTCATGAAGCTTCATGAGTGTCAGCTGTGGTACCAGTGGTGGGTTGAGTAGTGGTAGCCGTCCAAACATCTAATAAAGTATTTTTTTTGCCGTTGACTCCTGGTGGGAGATTCATCTACTTTATATTTAGCATAATCTTTTGAAAAAAGGAAACCGTCGACTTTGTAAAGTGATGGACTATACGATAGATGAGCGCTGATCCATCAATTTGTGACTGAATGCAGATTGGTGTATTCCCTGTAGTTGGATTAGTTACTAATCGGGAGTAAGTCGGGAGAAGTAACCAGAAAAATGATTTTTTCGTGTTTTGACGACTGCCGCTACTCAATCCGCTATCGACGCCGCATCGGACAAACATAGCATTTCATAATAGGGCTCAGTAAAGTATTTTGCGGGTTTTCGACTGAGAGGAAACTGACCATGAAAATCTGCCATAGGTCATAAACCATAACATATAAAGTGAACACGCTAGCCAATTAAGCGAAATGTTTTTCTGTTTACTTCAGCAGTGACCAATAAATGGTTCACTCTGATGGTCTGTAATTCTGAATCAATGGTTCTGATTCCTTGGCCTCATAACAAAAAAAAAAAATGAAAACAAAAAAAATAAGTAAAAAAGTCCACAACAAGCTTTAATAAATTTCTTGAAATCGTTTATAAACATTTATTTCAAAACATTTCTGACACGTAAATGAAGAATAATATGAATATACGTTGTGGACGGTCACCATGAACATTATATAGTACTATTTTCACATCTTTGAACTGATTTAACTCGGTTTGGACTGTGTTTTTGATATAGGGCCCCATATATTTTTTTGTTTGTAATGTTATTCTGCATCAGTTTTTCCACATTCGATCAACTGCCGCGAAAAAATGAAAAGGCACCACGCTCCATACAAATTTGGTCATTGTCATTTAAGATGTTGTTTTGGGAAAAGTAATGGCGTACCTAAATATCTTTTATATGAATCTTACATACGTAAATAACCTCACAGCTGTTTCCCATGGGGGTAGGCAAAGACAATGGAACGCCAATTGTTACCATTCTTAGATACCTCAAAGTTATTTATTTATTTCAATTACAAGACACTTTGAACCTCTTTCGCTTCATCAACAGTCATCAGTCTTTTCATTCGATTTATACGAATCTTGTGACCAATATATTGCCGTATCTAGTACATACATATTTCTGTGTAAAGTACAACTAAACAAACAAACTGCCCCATTGATAGATTCGCTGTAGTACGTATAGATACCATCGGTAGTTGTCATCATGTCGCATCATTATTCGTTTAGCCGTTTTGTAGATTAGCGGGCGTAGTTGTGATGGTAAACATAATGTAATAATTTAATAATGATATTGGAAACAATCAATTTTTACATGATTCATGAATTGTTAAATTATAATGGACTTTTTCAAATTTTCTATATAATTTCTGATTCTATTACAATTGGGTTTTAAACAAGTTATAACTTGTCGAATTGTAGATCTCCCCTGACGACAAAATTAGCCATGAAATAATGCTATAACAATGCAATAATATTTAATATAGAATTACCCAATAAATAGTCGTAAAATAATAATGATTCTATAAATGAAATTTTTGACATTAATATCCTGATTTGACATTAAATAAATTATCACAAATTAAATTCATAACATATCACTGTAAAAAATTGATTGTTTCTTTGACAAAATAAAATATTTATTGTGCTATTAATAATAAAAGGAGTTTGGAAATTAATTTATAATTTCATAGTAAGCACTCGAATCTTCATAGATTTAGGTTCGAATACTCAAACGCTACTCAATATTTTGACGCCCTCAAAATATTTCTGTCACTATAAATACTTGATTTATACATAAAAAAAATATAATGACTGCCTCGTTGGCCGAGTGGTCGCAAGTGCGACTGTCGGGCAGGGGTTCTCGGGTTCGAGGTTCATAGAAAAGAAAATTTTGGAAAATAATTCAGGAAGATTGTTAAATAGTCCCATTTCGATACCATGACGGACTGTTACCAAAACAAATGCCTGGCACCAGTGAAGTTGGGAATAAGGTACCCGAACGAACTAAGAGCGGGCCGCCAGTATTTTATAAAATGACAGAATATGGTAGATGCCTAATTTTTATTTTAATGTCCGTCTGGTAGATTATGTTAAATCATTAGACACGTATTTTTTATTTTCTTACAGAAACGAATACTTTCGACGATATATTGATTTGAAATGTCGCGTGACGTCACTTCTATGTACATTTTATACGTAGAAATGACGTTTTAGCCCCCACCTCTAAACTTTGATTCGATTTATCTAAGTATAGTTTTATTATACGACAATAAAAAATACGTGTCTAATATTTTTTCATTACCTAACTTACGGACTAATTAGATTTTTAATTTTCATACCCTGTCAATATTTAAGTAAAACTGAAAATTGAGTAGCATTTTAGTACTTCGGCGTTAACTAGACATTATTTATTCAGTTCATCTTGGCTGGTACTTAATGTAAGTAGGTATACCTTATTTATTATTTTACTAACCAACCAGGGACGTACTAAGGTCGATTTGGGCCCCCATAATGATGAGCGTATAACGAACGGGCCCCTACTAGATTATAATGCTTACATTGCTTTTAAAATGGCCAGTGGCTAATAAATATAATAAATGCAATAATGTGCCAAAACTATACTTTTCTTCACAACTAAAATCATGACAAATATACATGCTTACATACATGTTATGATGAAATCTTTTTAATATTATGTACCTTATTACGTCTCTGGCTCCAATGCCTTCCACGTGATTTAAGAACAAATGCGTGAATTTAGTAAAAAATATCTGAATGCTTCATTACAATTTTTTTCAAACAGAAAATTGCTTATGTAGGCCCAAAAAATAAGGTTTTTTTACTTGAAATACCTATGCAGGAGTTTTTATTAAATAGAATTGGAAAAGTAACTTATAAGTTGGTTTTTACAATTTTTATTTTCTTTTTAAAAACATTGATTTGTACAGGTTTTTTTTTATTTAAGAGATGTAGTTATTTTCTTTTTTTTTTCGTAATTTGGTAAGGGATTTCGTTTGATTAATATTATTGTAGTTATTTTAAAATTTCTCTTTAGGCATTAAATACATTTGATGTGTTCTTTCTACGAATAATTCCATTTATTAACAGTACTAACAAAATCTTTTGATGTCATTTTGAAAGTAGCGGTGGATTTGGCTGTTTACTCTCGACTCATAACGAAAAAAAAAATTAAAAAAGTCAATGCTACCAACTTACGCCGCTGAATTCAAAATGGCTGCCTTTCGCAGAAGCGTATACTCAAAATGCTTTTTTTCTAGTCAAAATACTAATTTGCGTTTCAAAATCAAAGATGATCGCTGCATTTATCTTTAAAGTTGTCAAATGTCATATTTATGTCATAATATTATATGACATCAGTTGGAAAGTTGTATTATATATCTATGAAAGTGATTTTCGTGTTCAAAACTGTTGCAATTTAAAATATTTGACCCTTGTTGTGTTTAGAGTCATTTTACAGAAAATTATATTAACATTGGCAACACCAAGTTTTGTATAAAAATGTGTTTGTTAAACATACAACTTATGATAATAATTTAAGATTTTGTGAACAAAATTAAGGTCGAGATGGAACAATTATTTTTACTGGGTTGCAATTCGAGGAAAAAAATAGTCTTCTGGCTGTCATCTTTCAAAATTAGAATATTGACAGTCAGATTTTTTAATATTTCTTTGACATCAGAAAGCTATCATATTTCTTTAATAGATTATTAGCTTTATGTTTTTGTAATTACAAAATCAGAAAGGTATATCTGTGCGTAGAATCTGGGCGTTTCTGCTACAATAAAAAATATCTTCTACCAAATGCATACATAGTAATTGTTTTTATCTCGACTTTTATTTTCATGAACTTTAGACACTATAAACCCGAAATGGTTTCTTGAATACATGTTCCTCTGGTATTTAGACGTAAAATATTAATATAGTAAAATAAACTTTGTTTTGAAACCCTAGACATTCCCAAATTAACATTTTTGGCATTCATAGATTAATTTGTAGCATAAAATAGGTTTTATCCATGGAGTTTTTATACTTTATTAATAAATTACTCATTTATGTTATGTATAATGAAATTAACATTTATTATAACATGAACGATTCTTATAATTGATAATACAAATTTTTGCACGCAATTAGTAATAGGTGATAATTTTTATTTGTAAAATGGCTGTTTGTAAAAGACATTTTATATTTTCATAATTTAATGATGGCGTAACTATATGGTATTGCTTCGATACTGGCCATTTATTAATTTCTTTATAAATATGAATAATGAGCAATAATAAAATTAATTGAAGCCATTTTACAAACAAAAGTGTTGTTATTGCAGATAAATTCCTATTCTAATCACAAGTTTGACAATATAATGAGTATGAAAACCTCCTTGGTTACTGGATATGGCAGAAAATAAAAATTAAAAAGTAAAGAGCGTTAAGGTATGTGAAGAATTCTCATGATATTGTAAATAATGTGAGTCAAGCGAATAGTGTTGTTGAATTTGTTATTTATTGCTTGTATCGTTGATTAGCTATTTTATAATGGAACTAATATACAAGTACCCAGTTATCAGTTGTTTTATTTTCTAATCCCTATTGTTATTGTGTCTAAATTATGTCTGAGTCGATTATTATAAAGAATTCAACTGCCAGGTCTCATTATTTATTAGAACAAGCCTTTTTACGAGTATTAACTATTGAACATTGACATAAAGAAAATTCGATATCATTATCTCTAGTAGACAGTAGACAAAAGAGGTTTAAAAATAAAATGTAGGAGAAAATGACATGTCAAGTTTGAATGTTAAATAATTATACAAGACCATCACAAAAATAGATTAAAAATCTGTTGTATTTGATCCACCTATTTCGTGGAACGAAGCAAAATTCTGTTTCCGAACGATACAAAAAGTGACGTTTATTGACATTGACATGGCAACCTAATCACGTAAACGTCAATTTGACACTAACTAATGTGTAACTCTTTTGAAAGGGGATTGTCTGTTTTTGCGAAGAATCGATGCTGTGCAAAGTAACGAGATATCTATAAATAACACGATACGTTATCAACGTTCGTTTACACCAGAGCGAGTCTTGGCTATTTAATCTAATCGCCACGCCTCTACATTTAATTAATAACAGAAATTAATGAATACGTCACTCAGTTCCTTTTTGAATGCGGTAGAAGAAGATCGTGTATTTTGTGAATTCTGTGTGTGATTAAAGTTAATTTTGCATCAAGATTTGCACCTTGGCCCCGAAGTTATACCGGTTAATTAGAAAGGCCATAGATTATAAGTGTAACCTAACTTTTTAAGAGAAAATAGTGAACTTTTTGCGATGTCCGTCTTGAATAACTTTACGGTGTCCGTTGCGAAGGGTTTACGACGTAAGTACTAAGTTTTTGTTTATTTATTTACGTATTTTAATAACCTACGAATAATCGGCATATAACTATTTAGTTGAAAAGTATTTTAAAAATGTTTACTACTTTATTCTTGAGTGAATTTATAATTAGTAAAAAGTTGGTCTTCTTGTTTTAAATAATTATGTTGTTGTTTTTTTTATTATGTTCAGCCTGTGCAATTCCAACAGTAATGAAATAATGAATAATATTGGTAAATTAAATTAAATTGATATTATAGGTTCTGTAATCTATTGATTACTATTTACCTACAATTGTTGAGATAAAGCAAAAATTTTGTTTATTTTTATCAGTAAGTAGCTCTGTGTGGAAAAGTCTAGAACTTTCAAGAGTTTGAATTCCTTTTTTATAAATAAGTTTTATTTAAGAATAGGAACTAAGTAATATTAATATTATAAATACAAATTACTAAAATATTTACACCATAAAATTACAATAAAAAAAAAATACAATTTTCGCTTGAGGCATCCAAAAATTCATTTGTTAACAATGTTATTTTCCATAAAATGGTGTAAAATGTTTTGTTCTGTCAAACTATCTTATTTTAAAATATACCTATTTTCTTAACAATATTCTCCAAAAATTACAGCGTTTTTAAAACTTTTTAATTATTTGTTGTTTTTTCATTTAACTGCTTATTTCTTGTGAAAGTTTATTTGTTATTTGATAAACAAAAACTTTTCATCATGATTTACAATAATCTTCTTTTAAGATAATTTATCATTTAATAAAAAAAAAAAATAACAGTTTAAACTGTCAAACACCGAGCGGTCACCGGTGACCGCAACCTATTGTTCTATAATTGTGTCTATATTGACGATACTCGACGAGTTAATCTGCAAGGCCATTGTTATCTATTCTATATTAAGTACCTATATTTTATTATTCTCTTTACATTTTTTCTTATATATATATATTTTAAAGAACTCTAAAAACCATGTGAAGTAGAAATACTTATCATTTGCCCAGGTCTTTGTGTACTGGGACCATAGCGTTGGGGACAGTGCAAATCCCCAGCGCAAGTACTGAATTATTCCATCTATCTAACAAATGTAGCTAATTCAAATTATCGTGGGAAAATCACACAAAATTATAATTGGCTGCCACAACCTTGCACAAATTCATTTCTACTCATTTTTAACACGCAAATTAATTTAATTTATAAAGTTTATTGTTTGGTTTTAACTTCATTACAAAAAAATGCTGTGAATGGCGGACTTAATACCTTGAGGCATTCTCTGGCAGTCGCAGTTGATGCGTTTTTAAGTTTTAACCTTACCCTTTTAAAACTGCATCTATAAACTGCAGATATGTGGGCTTTTAGTATGGTAGATTGACAGATTTGTGCTATCCCTGACAATACATTTGAAGGAGCTGCCTTCTTTCAAATGCTCTGAGCTCTGGAATGAAACTTCCATAAGATGATAAAAAGTAAAAATATACTCTTAGGTAGGTACAGTAAATTGTTTAACATTTCCCTATAAAAAACAATTTTAACTTTATTATTTGACTTATTAACTTTTTTAATCATCATTCAAACCTCCTTTAGCACAGTCTCCTTTGACTAAAAACACATGTCCCTCCTGCAGGTTTCAACTCTATAAAAGGTAGGTAAAGTTATAAAATCTCCAACCAAGTTTTTATAACTCAATCGGGTAATACTTGGCTTAATCAAAAATAAATTATTTTGACTTTTCAATATGATAAAATACCTCGTGTGTTTATAAGTTTTGAGACAAACTTTTTGCTTATAAAAATAAAATAAAAATTACTGGCTGCTGTATATTTTTTTTTCTAATTTTGAATTTGGAATGTTAACTTTTAATATCTATGATTTCGGATTACTTTATTTAAATTTTCTCGTAATGGAGGGAACAAAAGAATGTATTTAAAACAGGGGTGGTCATTTTGAATAATAATTATATTTAATTTTTACTTACTATCTACTTAATGTTTGTTATTGTTTTTATAAATATAAGTTTATTATTTAAAAAGATATGCAACTTTTAATTTGTCTCAAAACTTATGAACACACGAGGTATAAAAATAAATCACACTTTCATTAATTCATTTTATTACCAACTTAATTTCAGTATCTTTTCAGCAAATTTTAAGAAATAACTTCGCGGATTGTCGTTAAAAAAACGTGACGTCACAATTCATAATCTCGTACAAAATTCATAAAAAAATTGTCTTTTTTGACAGTTCGAATAAAGTATTGAATTTCACTAGTTGGCAAGTAATGTATTCAAAAATTTCACACTTCAAGTAACTATATTGCGACATTTAATTTCACATTAAAGTTACTAAGGCTACACCACCAGCAAAGTGATATCTTTTCCATATCTATAAGTAAACATGAGATTTTAAACGACTTTGATACGCTGTTGCTTTTTATTTTCATTAAGTGATAATATTTTTTAAGCTGTTTTCTTGGGAAAATACAAATTCACAGATAGTTTATATATTTTTTGTCGTATCTTATAATTTTATAGCGTGATGTGGTCGGGCGATATTTGTTGATGGTTGCAAAAAAACAAATGTTTTATTTAAAGTTTTAAGTCAAAGATCAGAGTTAAAAGTCACTGTATTTATTTTAAGACTAGCTGTTTACAGACAAGAAAATATCAGCACTATATCTCCATTGCCCAAGTGGCAAATACAACAGGCCAAGCAAGAGATGTTGGGTTCTTTAATAGGGTTAAATTAACGAATGAATGCGCCAATATCACACGATTGCTACTCATGTACTCGTTTCTGCTGGTCGTCTATAGATAACTAGACGATCCTCTATTGTTATTGATTTTTTGTCATAATGTGAGCTTATCATACATAAATTCATAAAAACAATATCGGATTCCATTTTTAAAATCACTAAAACTAAGAAATAGACTTTGTGTGCATAGGCGACACTGATCAGGCGATGATCATGTACCAGCCATGTGCTTTGGGGCTGCGGACAATCTTGGGAGTTGTTCCTGCTTCGAACCGGGGCCCCGGTTACTCGTAACTCCCTGGTTATCCGAGGAACCGGATCCACCTAGTTCCTACCCCTGCTGGAACGGGGTGGTCTTTAGTCAGGAAGAGTCCGACACTCCCTCTCGTCTCACCCAAGGCGAGAGAAGTCATTGACTGATTTCCCCCTTCAAAAACAGGGAATCCGTCTGTTTAGTGTTTTGTGTTTAGTGTTTAGTTACCCCCTATTCCATTTCGGAGTCGCGGAGAACCTAACGGGTAACCGGGGCTCCGGCTCGACGTCCAGGAGAAGGAACGGGGTGGTTTTAGTCAGTAAGAGTCTGACACTCCCTCCCGCCTCACCCAGGCGGGAGCAGTCATCCGATGATTTTCCCCCCTTAAAAAAAAAACCCTATTCCAAAAAAAAGTAATCTTTCATCATCCTCTTCCATGTATGTATGTTTATTATGTAAGTTATGTTACGATTCTATACACACATATCAAACGTTAAGGTCGTCGACTCGGGTCATTGCTCTCGCTCACAAGCTTCCAATAAGGTATCTAAGCCGGGTTTACAACTTTCACTGTGGAATGATGTGCGTCGGCGGTATTTTCGAACCGATACGACCTTCAAACCTTCATAAGAAAGAAAAGAGCGTATTCCTTTTTAAAAGTCCGGCAATGCACCTGGTTTGGTGTTTCGAGTGTCCATGGGCGACACTGATCGCTTACCATCAGGTGATCCGTCTTTTCGTTTGCCTTCTATTCCATAAAAAAACCGAATATTAGGTTTAATGTGTCTACTATTACTATGTCTACAAAATACCCTAATTGTTATTATTTTCATATATCATTTTCCGCACTGTTCTGTGGGTTTATGTATGGATTAAGGAGAATACGGTTTAAGAGTCGAAGCTTAACAAATAAACGAACGTATATTTTTGTATTATAAATCTCCCGATCGATTTCGATCATGGTGGCCAGGCTGTCTAACTAGACTGGCCCAGTTCGCAGGAGATATTATAGTGTATAAGTATGTGCACAAACACAGATGCACTCTCTGTTCCTCCACTCTCTGAACCCGATGGGACGGCAAACCGACACGACCTGAGAGGAGTCAGGCGCAGGACCAACGGCTTTACGTGCTCTCTGAGGCACGGGGCGTGAAAAACTGCCGAACTTCCTGACTCCAGCCTAATAAAGATTATTTTACTCAGAAAATGCCATATCACTTTTTGGCCGGGTATCCGCGGGAATCAAACCTGCGACACGTTACAGAGCAGCCGGTCACCCAAGCACTCGTATTACTGCTATCGAGAGAGTAAGACATAAAAAATAATTAAGTTGTATCATGCTCACGTTCGACTTGTCAAACAGTCGAGCAACCTCGGCTTCTCGACTTGTTTCAATCCGCGCAAGGACCCATAATCATCGGCAGTATTGCGCGACTGCCGACGTGCCAGAAGGGCGACAAAAGACGCGGTGAGCATAAATTTATTGCGAAAATTAGTCGGGTCATATTAGCTTAGATTCACGCATATTTCCACTTATTTATACTCATGTTGAGCCTAATGTAGATAAATGCAACTGTTTAATTATTATCGACCTCCAAACAGACCTTGTTTCTACAACCTTGGAATCAGCAATTTCTTTATCATTGTTATCAGAAAATTCGTTAAAAATAATAAAAAAATGTCGCCAGCTATCTCTACGTAGGTATATGTACTGTAGGTGTGTTTAATTATCGCCGTCTCACGTGATTAGTATTCGCTACTGAAATCGACTCGGAAATTTTCACCAGAAGTTGCTTATTTTGACTGATTTAAAAGAATGCAGAAAAATAATTGGTGTATCTTGTTTTTAGGGGTAAATTGTATAACCTGGATGTCTTCAAGGCCCGAGTAAATAGGTTGCTTATGGACGTGTTCCATCGTAGACCGCATCATCGCTTACCATCAGGCGAGGTAGTTGATTAGAGTAGATAGTTAATTACATTTTAGCATATACTG